GTGTGGGGCTGGGGATGAGGGATTTGGGGTGCAGGAGTGGGCTCCAAGCTGGGGCTGAGGGGTTCAGAGTGTGGGAGGGGGCTCCTGGTGGGGGTACATGCTCTGGCTGGGGTGCAGGTTCCAGGGTGAGACCAGAAATGAGAGGTTCAGGGTGCGGAAGGGGACTCTGGGCTGGGGAAGGGGATTGGGGTGCAGGGGGGTGGGGTGAAGGAGTGTGCTCCAGGCTGGGATCAAGGGGTTCAGAGGGCAGGAAGGGGATCAGGGCTCGGGCAGGGGCACAGGAGGGGGTCAGGGTGCAAGCTCCAGGAAGTGCTTACCTCAAGCAGCAGCATGTCCCCCACTCCGGTTCCTAGGCGGAAGGGCAGCCAATGGGCGCTGCAGAGCTGTTGCTTGGGACGGGGGCAGCATGCAGAGCCCCCTGACTGTCCCTACACGTAGGAGCAGGAGGACATGCCACTGCTTCCGGGAGCTGCAGGGAGCCTGCCTTGTCCCACTGCACCGTTGATCGGACTTTTAACGGCCCCAAGCCTGGCAATCCTAGGTCCCACCTCCACACCCCTGGGGTCCACTCCCACTTCCCTATTCCACCCACTAAAATAATCTTAGGGTCCTAGAGTGAATATTTCAGTGATGAGTGGAGTGGGGAATGGACACCTCTCCGAACCCTTGGTCCAGGCTGTCTAGAGACCCGAGTCAGTACTGCCTTAGTTACACTCAGTTCACAATTGACAGGCTCTTAGGGATTTGGGGAGGTGGGGGTGTTTGGAGATAAAAGTGTTACTAATATAATTATGTCAGTTTGGAGTGTGACATTTTACTGACATAGTTATACAGGTCTAAGCTCCTGTGTGGATGCAGTTGCACCAGTGTAGAGGTGCCTTATATCTGCATCCACATTAGGAGACTTGCACCACTCTAACTATACTGGCATAGTTAAAGGGGCAAAATTTTCTAGCGCTGACAAGCCCTTAGATGCTAGATATGAGGAGATGCAACATATCTATCCCAAGAGAACTGGACTTGGCCCATGGCCTGGGCGTTTGCCACCATACCCAGAGGGCTGCAAGGGCGACTAACCAGGTAGTTATTTGCTACCCAAGAAACAAGGCCCAATTCTCAGGTGTTTAGCAATCACGGTGCCTCCTTTTTTCAGGTGGAAAGGAAAAGAAAGGCCTGCTGTCTGTGGGGTGTAGGGAACAGTCTGGTAACGCCCGTGGGAACGGTGAGCTCCAAGTGTGGGGCTGGGAGCCAGGAACCCTGAACTCTCATTCGGGTTCTGGCCCTGCAAGAGGTGGGGGGCAGGGTAAGTCCCTTGGCAGTATCTCACCTAGGCGTTTGCGGGGGCTCAGCGGCAGGACCTTCTCCCGGGGTGAGCGCGTCAGGAGGATCACCCTGGTGGGGTTCGATGTGGCATCTTTGCAACCCGCAGTGGGCGCGCCGGGCGTCCTGGGCTGTTTCCTCCGGGGGAAGTCGATAGCGGCCTGGGTCTGCGACCTGGTGCTGGGCATGGCTGCCACACGGAGACCTGGGGGGGCAGGGAAACCGCTGGCCTCAGAGTCATCCCCTCCCCATAAGGGGCACCGGCCCCCTCACCACGCTGGGCGGGGAAGGGGGGAGGCTCAGCAACTAGATAGGAAACACGCACCCCCGGCTGACCCCCTGCACAGGAGCCGTGGGACTCAGCCAAGAACCCACTCCCCGTGAATACTTCCCGCGCCCCCGCCCCCCCCCCCTCCCCCCCCCTCACCTCACCCCTCCCCAACCAGGCACCACACCCCCACCCCTCCCCCAGCCCCCCCCACCATGCACCGTGCCCCTCCCGCTCCTCACCCCCCCTCCCCCACCAGGCACCATACCCCTCCCCCACCACATCAGACCCCCACCCCTCACCCCCACCAGGCAGCACCGTGCCCCTCCCCAACCAGGCACCAGACCCACACCCAGCCCCCCCCACCAGGCACCGTGCCCCTCCCCCACCTCACAAGACCCCCACCTCTCCCCAACCAGGCACCGTGCCCCTCCCCCACCCCATCCCATCCTCTCACACCCCCCAACCAACCAGACACCGGCCCCCTCAGCCCCAGCGCGGCCCCGCGCCCCTCTCACCCCGGCCCCGGCTCCGCGCCCAGCTCCCTCCGCGTTCTCGGGCTCTCTCACTTCCCGCCACCGGCCCGAACTAGCCCCGCCCACGCGCCCCATAGGCTCCTCCGCCCGCCGCCTCCGCCAATCGCGCGGCTCCGCGCCAAGCCAGGCCACGGCCCCGAGCTGCCCGGCGGCCAATCAGCGCCCAGAGCGCCGCCGCGATTCCCCACCCCCCTTCTCCGGAAACCGAGGCCCCCGCGGCGGACTCCGGCTCCCAGCAGCCCATGCGGCAGGGCTGGTGCCGCGTGGCGCGGTCACGGGGCGTGGTGCATGCCGGGAGATGGAGTCCCCGTGGAAAGACGCGTGTTGGGACTGACAGTCCGGGCAGGACGCCAGCGCCCTGTTATGGTCTTGGCCTTCCCGCCATCCTCGGGCAAGGAGTTCCACAGGTTGACTGGGCACTGGGTGAAGAAATACTTATTTGTTTTAAACCTAAAATGGGGACACCCAGGTGCTTCCCAACAGCACCTAGTGCTGCACCCCTCCCCCAGGCCTGGGGGGCGAGAGCCCCCCCGCAAGGAACACAGCAGGTTAGCCCCGGCCTGGCGGAAGGGTTTTGGAAGATCTGACCATCCAACCACCAGTGGAAATGGTACTGCGCTCTTCTTCAGGGACCAGAGCCAGGCCAGACCATTAGCAATACACACACATCCACCTCCTTCAACTAAACACAAAGGCACATGGGCCTAGCCCCAACAGAGTGAGAAAACATTTGCAATCACTGATGAGAAAAAGGACGGTCCCTGCAATTAACTATATCACAAATTAATTAGTAACAGGGCAGGAAGGCAGAAGGCTGCTTAATGAAACTCCAGGGGTGGTGCGGATCCAGCCCTGACTGCTATGGCATGATAGTTATGGTGATCAAGTACCCACAGCCTACCTCAGCAGGCATAAGGTCAGCAGAGAAGCCAAGGACTGAAGCCTCTTCTCTGGGGCTAAGGTAACTAGTCTGGGAAGTTTATACCTGCTGCCTGGACTATCGCTGGAGGGAGGAGAGCCGTTGCCACTAAAAAAAGCCACTCAGGTATTTTTTGTAAGCCTGCTAAAACCCACCCTTTTAAACAATGTAAGTCTCTCTCCAAGGCTGATGGGCAGGGTGGCAACAGCCCTGGGTGTGTTGTTAAAGAAGCCTGCTAAATGCAAACTGGGACAAGGTGCCTGTAGATAAGGGTTAATATTAACCAAGTTCTCTCTTTCCCTCACCTCCACTCTTCTCCCCCCAACCACACAGGCCAGAAGATAAAGAGAATTGATAAGAGCACAAATTACATCTTCCTCTTATGAACTGTAGCAGTGAGGCTCCAACTGAGGCCAGGGTACTAGGTACTTTACAAACAATGCATGAAACAGTTCCTGCCCAGCCAGGTGTATAATCTAAATTGGGGGGAGAGGCACAGAGGGGCTTGCCCAGGTCACAGAGCGGAGACTAGACCCTAGGTCTCCAGGATCAAAGGGCAGTCCCATACCACTTATACAGCACAGCTTCACAACCACGTGAGAAAAATGGCAGCAAGCTCTAAGCACCTACGACTGGAGAATCCAACCTGCTGCAGCCGGCCACAAGCAGTGGAGGGATGGGGGTCAGGAATGAGCAGATTTTTTAAATCTTAAGGCAGTACTGCGAACTGGGCAGGCAGTGACGGTGCCAGCGGGCTCTGTGCTCATCTGCACTAATCATTCGCATTCCACAGAACGTTTACCTTCATTATGGTGATGCAGCCGGGCGCAGACTCTTTCCCCTTCATGGAAGCCCTAGTTCTAGGAGAATTTAGATTGACAAACTCCAGGAGCTGCGAGATAGCTGGGTTCAGGGCACGCCCTGGGTCAGAATTCCTCTACGCAGAGGAAGTGGGATTCTTATTTATTCAGCCACTAGGCCAGAGGCTCCTGCCCCGCAGGCCAGGAGTCCTTGGGTAGCACCCAGCTCTGAGAAGTTTCCAAAGCGGAATTTTCAGAAGGGGGAGAACTTGACTAGTTTCAATACCACTGTTGCTTCCACTCAGCCCTGCCGCCTCTGGGCTCTGCAGAGAAGCTCCCATACAGATGTAGGTAGCTCAGCCTGGCCTGACCGTGCTCAGGTGAAGGTCTGGCGAGGCCAAGCAGCCCGGCTGAATCCCTGTTATGTCACAAAAACAGGCAGGGGCAACATTCGCTAATGAGACCTTCCAGCCAAGCCAGTAGCAAGTTGCAGGTCAGCTCCCTGTTCCATTGGATACATAGCAGGCTCTTGGCATCCTCTGCCTTGCAGATCGCTTGATTGCAAACTTCGGGGCTGCTGAAGCCTTGGGTTTTGCCCTCGTTCCTTCCTATCTGAGAATCTCAATGCACCTCACAGGCCCAGAACACTGAGATAGGGAAAAGTCCCCCAGTAGAGAAATGGGGAAACTGAGGCACAGAGCTCTAAAGCCACCCTTTTTCAAATGTCTAGAGACACCCTCCGTTTTTAGAAGGGCTGAGCTGCTGCATCTCCCACTGAAATCCATGGAGTTGGGGGCACTCCGCACCTCTGAGAAAAATCCCATCCAAGGCCTCTCAGTCCAGGCACTCCAAATCCGAGGTCGCGGCTGCCTTCCTGACACTAGCTGAGGAGCTGCACAGAACTGGACACGATACTTGGCACTTAGCTAGCGAGCTACAAGGAAACAGCTCAGAGCGCTTCAGGAAAGGCAGGTCTGGCTCACCCCATTTTACAGATGTGGACTGTGAAAACCCAGGCAGGTGAAATGATCTCTCCATCCAGCTATTGTTTCCGCTGGGAGATGAGAGAGCGGGGATTCCCCAACCTGGCCAGCAGCTCCTCAGGCAGCGCCACACGGTAAGAATCCGAAGCACAACAGAGCATTGGGATTATTATTTTAATAGTGAGGTTTAAAGAATTGCATGTAGGAGAGACAGGAAGAAGCATACAAAATTAGACCAGAATCTGAGCTACAGTACACATCCCTCCAAGGGAGAAGTCAAACCTTTAGAGATGGCTACAGTCTTGCAGCAAAATGTAACAAAAAAAAAATCATACAATAAATTATAAAAATCCAGCTAATGTGCGGACTTCACGCACAGGTCAGGTCTGGTACATTTATACAATGGGCCATTGAATGCTTGAGCTCTTCCATGCGGAGGAGCAGCTGCAGGGGGAGAGACTCAAGAAACTGGAACCCTTCAGTGGCGCTGCAGTCAAGAGGAAGTGGGGATATAAAATAGGAGCAAACAGGTGGAAGGAATAACAAATCGCAGTGGTGGGAATATGCACGCTGAATTGCTTCAGTCCGCAAAGCACAAGGAGAGGAGTCCGAAATGCTTTGGACACAGGTAAGGCACGAAGGAAGCATGAACGGAGAAAGTGTTTCCATTGACTGGTCTCTCGCTGAAGACCCACCGAGCCTCTCCATTCTGCAGCCCTTCGGAGCTGCTCCAGGTGCAATGCAAGACTATGAAAAACAGGACTGTTAGGAACTCTGTTTCCAGCTATCCCTATGATCCCAAAGAGGGCACAACACAGCCTTGCTACCTGGAGCATCCAAACTGCTCGCTCGCCTCTTGGGGAGTGGACACACCTCCTCGTTGGTGCAGTGTCGATTGCTACAAAAAGCCCAGGCTCAAGGGCCCCATTTCAAGCAGTCAGGAAAAAAGAAAAAAGAAAAAAAAATCAAGCAAACCCCACGCTATGTTAAAAGCTTCGGTCTAGTTCTTTCTTCTCACTAGTCCTATGGTGTGAAGTTGGTCAGGCTAGTTGAGGAAGCATCACATTGGCATACAGTGGTATCTTCTTGTTCTTCCTTCTGCCCCTCTTCCCCACCCAAACAATTCTACGCCTCCTTTAAGGGCTCCCAGTGATCTACCATTAGCAGCATCCTTTGATGAGTCACGCACCAGTCTGGCAGAACCATCTTGGATACTCCCCGAATTGCTGGTTCAGCCTGCGGTTCCCCACTGACCGATAAACGGCCAAAGCGTACAGACAGCACAGCAGGGAGATGAAGGAAACGCTAACAGGTCTCCGATGAGCAATGGAAGTCCCACAAAACACATACAAGACAACATTCGAAACACCTAACAGCAAAGTGCTTTGGCCCAAAAGTTGTGATTTGAACAGATGTGCATCTTTATTATTTTTATTTAAATACAATTTCAAGCTTATTGGTTTTTATTTTTTCCTTTTAAAAGAACCCCCTCTGCTTCCAAAACAAGACTTACAGGAAGCGAACATTACAGGGAAAGACTTTTTTTCCTTTTTTAAAATTTATTTAAACAAAAATGCACAGTGCATTAACTTCTCTTCCAACCAGCTAAGCTGGGCAGATATTTTTCCTCCAGAAAAACAAAAACAAAAAAACCCCCGAATTTCCTGTAACTGGGCAGTGGTCCTCAACATGAGTGCTGCCTAGTTCGAACGTAAAAAGGATACATTTCCATCATCATAGAAAAAGAGCAGTTTAAAGGTGAGGATTTTAGTATACTTGCAACAAGCCCACCTTAATCCTATATTACAAGCTTTTTACAACATACAAAATAGATCAGTAACTATGATTAATGTAACCCCTCCCTGTTAGAGAGTAAATATACAGAATCATCATCAATCTGGTACCAACAGGAGGACAGAAGTAGTGTATAAGGCAAAACAACAGCTAGGTACTGGATTATTATTAGAAACGCTTCCATGGAATATGAACAGTCATTAGCTAGTTTGGCCAAACGAGGCAATTCCCCCATGAGAAAGAGAGAGTGTTTTTATGCTACCATGCGACCCGCAGTCAGAACACAAGGACCCTGATCTCCCCCCCACAGATTAAAACCTATTTAGCAGGGTTTCCATATTTTTTGTTTATTAACATTACAACGATTATGGTCTTCCTGTTAAAATTATAAATTTGGTCATTTAGCATTAAAATCAGAGCACCCAGCAGGGCATGAAGGGCCGTGCCACCCGTCGGGAAGGGAGGCAGCGTTTTGCAGGAACCCATCAGTGTGATTAAGCTGACCGCTCCCAAAGCGGCAAGCTCCCCCACCACGGGCCGCCAGCTACCATCCGTCTCCTAACCAGGGGGCGAGCTAGAGACGCTTGCAGCTGCTGTTACCAGGTTAAAAAAACAGGAATGATTAGTCTTGTCAAATTCTCTGCCAGGGGGGAAATCTAGCAGTGCCCTATTTGTTATAACGGTGCACTCCGAGGAAGGGCCATGCAGCCATGGACAGCATTCCCAGACAGAACACGGCCCACAACCAGCCTGCATGTTACAGCCACGGGCCAGTCCCCACTGGAATGGCTGTTAGAGTGTGCCCTGGGCTAGCATTTGCTCCACCCAGTGGGGCCATGTTCCTTTGGGACAGTCTGACCCCCTTTCCTGTATCCATGGGGGGAAATGCCAGTTGTGGTGTCTGGGTAAATAACCACGTTGGTTTAAACTCTTCCTGCACCTTGTTGCTTTAGCTGAACTGATCAGTACATAGTGTTCACAGCCAATAGTGTTCGAGACATTTCACTTTTTAAAAACTCACCCCTTTCCCTGCCCTCCCTTCTCCAAGTCTGACCCCCCACCCCACATGCCTCTCACCCCTGCCCTAGCACGGAGCACCGGGGGTACTGGCCGCACCACGCTGGTTTCTGGCCCCAAAGCCATCACACGCTGGCTTGCTTGGCTTGGAGTTCGTCCTACGTTATATTAACTTTGTGGACCAGGAGAGTCTTTTTGCACAGATCTGCAGGGTGGCGCAGGAAGCCTCTTTCCGGCGCGGCCCGCGGATCTGCAGCTATAAAGTGGAGGAAGGGACTCACCCAGGTAAGTCCAGGTATGAAATGCATAGATGGAGGTGAGAGGGGATTCATCCGGGTTTGTTTGTTCCTTGCACCATTGGAAAACAAAACGAGACACTGGGAGCTTCTCATGCAGGTTCCTAGGGGCAGGGGGGGAAGTCCGTTCAAGGAAAGGAGAGAAGGTCCGTCTCCTCGCCAAGGAACAACCAGGCAATGCAGCTGGACTTCACCTGGGGATGGGAGGCAGCGGTGGAGCCCCCCGGGTCGCTGCAAGGCAAGGAAGCCGGGTTAGTTAGGCTGCAGCAGGATGCCCAAAAGTTTTCTGGCCAAGTCACTCAGTTCAAAGGTCTCCTCACCAGCTGCCGTTTCAAGTATCGTTCCCCGGACGCCTGCCGCGTCTGTGCGCTCATGGGCCACTTCCCCCAGGTGCCTGGGAATTCCCGGAGCCTGGGATCCGTGTCCAGCGACCACAGACCCAGCCATCACTGGCGTACGGGCTTAAGCAAGGCACCTTTGGGGTTAGACCCCAGGCGTGAATAGACCAGGGCAGAGACCCGTCGCACGGGCTTGGAGAAGCCTAGAAAGGTAAAAGCCCAGAGCTCGCTGCGCAGACAGCCGGTGGAAAGCAATGCTCAGCACTCGCTTTAGCCCTCCCACTCTGAAGTGATACATGCCGCCCAGGTGGCTTAGTGGAGCAGGCGCTGGGGCATCCTCCACCAACCAGGCGCAGATATTTTAGCGGCAAGACGCGTTGGCTAGGTCGTTCACCTACCTCGGTTCGTTTTGCTGGGGTAAGTTCTCTGGAAGTGTTTATACTCCTCGGGAGCTGGAAAGTCTTCGACTGGATGAAAGGAATATTTGGACTCAAAGTCGTCTGGGAAGAAGGGAAAAGGGTGAACTAACTAAGGCAGCTTAAGAGAGGAAATGGAAATGGTCAACTTGCACCCCGAGTTCTCAGCGCTCCCGATCAGAGCCAGTGACGCAGAAGCGCTCTGCTGCTAGGGGGAGCACGGAGAGTCTCTCCCCACCCGCTGGAGCTGCTGGGCATGTTGGAGATCCGGCCGTGCGTGTGTGCGCAGCTGGGGGTGGAGATACCCTGCCCTGGTCATGCTCCAGGCTTCACAGGGGGAGCGGAGTCGAACAGAACAGGCTAAGCAAGTCAATATAAATGAACCAGAGGAAAATTTTTCCCTCCCCCATAAGTTCCCATTTCTCCCCGTGCTATACTGCAAGCCACTGGCTGACAAAGAATGGCGGCTCCATACGCAGGGCTGAATTTCCACCTGGAACATGATCAGCGGGTGTTAATCACGCAGTTAGAGACACGATCCCATTGACAGGGGCCCTCCATTCACTGCGCTAGCTGCAAAGCCGCTCTGCAAGCATTAGGGAGCGCTGCACGAGTGGAAATCAGGCCTCAGTACCTGTCAACAGGAACACGCTCCCTCCTCACCCTCTGTTCCCAGGGGGCCTGGGCCAGATTCAGACAGGAGCCAGATGGTTCCCGAGGCTCAAGTTCCAGTCGAGGATGGTTAGATTTTCTGAGTGGGGCCCATGACATCAAGCCAGGGGGTGAATCCAGAACCTGATCCCTCCAGCCTTGATGCAATCCGGTACCAGAGCGACACACAGGGAGTTTGCCCAGCCCCAGCATGGCTCATGCCTGGTACTGCCCAAGGCTGGCAGGTTTTCATTCAATAGTTAAGCCCAGTGATTCCTGAAGGTTTCCCACCCCTCTAGCCAGCACAGACACCACGGCCAGAGAACACAGGGCTTCCCGCCACCCCCTAACGCCTTTACAAGACCCTGACATTCATCCATGTTATCCTCCCTTGTCTCTGAAGGAACTAGAATTACACCACCACATGGTATCATAAGCCAGGCTGCTAGGGGCTAGAGAGACATGAGGCAATGAATGCTCGGGGGGAGGGGGGGGTGGGGGAAGAGACAGAATTCCCCTCTGAACTAAGGGAGGTGGACAGAAATAGCAGGGCTCCACCCCGGAGGAGGGGGAGGGCGAGGTCAGCCCTGCAATAACACCCTTTGGAAGAAAGCACCTGGCTGTTAAGGGCAGGGAGCACTGCGCTCTGCTCCCAAGAGCCAGCCGCAGCAGAGGCACTGTACCAGAGACAGACCCAGGAGCTCGAGCTGCCGGAGAGTCGTATGCCCACCCACGAAGATTCCTGAACTGCTGCAGCATCAGCAGGGAGTGGCTCACACCTTGTTTACGTAGGACCTACAACAGCAGCAGTTTTCCATGCACCTCCCCAACCCACCAACGCAGCGTCCGTAGAGGGCCGTTCGGAATCTGGACTCATTGCCCAAGCAGGCTCTAGCCGGGGTCTAACATCTACTCACCCAAGAAAGATCTCACAGTGGCGATGGAATCTCGGTGCCCATTTCGCACTGGCGGAGGTGGAGGGGGCGGCCCAGCCGGTGTCCTGGTAGGTGGGGGCGGAGGTTTCCCTCGACTCAGAGGCTCCGATGACCCATGCATTCTGTAGGGGGGCGGGGGCGGGGGAGCGTCACGGCCACCATTCCGCATCAGCGGGGGCGGGGGTGGGGGGGCTGCAATAGAAACCCTGATCAGCACAGATAAGGACAAAGGAATGGTCAGACCGATGGCCCAGCTAGCCCAGCAGTCGGTCTCTGATAGCGGACGACACCAGGTGCTCAGAGGGAATGAACAGACCAGCACAGCTATCGAGTGATCCAGCCCGTCGCCCACTCCCAGCTTCCAGCAAACACAGGCCAGGGACACGTGTTCCTGACAGGGCCGGGGAGACACCCTTGTCCATCCGCCCAGCCTGGGCAGGACTGTGCCTCCCACAGCGCTCTCTAGTGAGTCATCCTCCAGCAATGGGGCACGGAGGGGTATCCCACCGCTTGGAGGGTACTGCCCAGCTCTCCAATGGGCAACCAGAGGGGGGCACAGAACGCCAGGCCTAACCCTCCTCCAGCCGGCAGGGGAGCCCACGTTCACGACTGTTTGTTACCATTTCAAAATCCCAGCCCGCAGATCACCTGTCAGGCTCTGGACATTTTTAAAGCCAGTATTTTCAGGGGTCCACCCCACCCCCACCCGGCAGCTGAGACTCCAGTCCAGGCCGAGATGCCAGGCTCAAGTGCACCAGGATCAGGGCTCGGTAAGTATCTACTAGAGCCAGTCTGCTGGTTAGCGCCCCAACGAGACATTTTCAGCTCATGTTCCTAATTCCACAGGATAACGCGCCAGCTCCGGCGCTGTGACTCAACCGAGGGATTCTAGGGCCAGACGGGGTCGGAGCTGGCAACTAACCGCGGCAGAACTGCAGCCTTGTGGCGCAGCCCAGGACTGTGGAGTTGAAGAGGATGATAAAATACTCGTGCCGTGCTTTCCCGACTCCAGGGGCGGACGCTCGCACGGCCGCGGGGCCAAGTGCGAGGGGGAAGTCAAGGGCATCCGAGAGACAACGCAAAGAGCCTGAAGAGATGTTGTCTTAAGTCGTGCTCGGAAAGGCCGAGTCAGACCCTGAAGCTCTGACTGTCTCCCAGGCAGCTCCTGCAAACGAGGGCTCTAAAGCAAGGGACGAGTTCCAGGAGCAGGCCGAACCCCCTCGGGATCAGACACACATCGGTGAGCCTGACAAACCAATGCCCCTTACCCGCAGCAGCCTTACACCCCTCCTTGTCTCTCCTCACACCCTGGGAGCCACGCGGCTACACCACTGCAAACCATCAGGAGCCGTGGCTGCCTGAGGGCCATGCTAGCTCCGGGCGTGCTGGGGGGGCTCTTACCTGCTCCCCTGCTCGGAGGGTCTCGGGCCGGCGGAGGGGGTCGATGACTCTGGAGCGACGGGGAGGCCGAAGAGGGTGGAGGAGGGGCCATGCCCCTCACGGGGCCCGGGGTCTTCCTATGCAAAGAGTTGTGTCTCTGGGGCAGCTCTGGGGCCAGCTCGTTGGTGGGGCTGGAAGGGCCGTTGTGAACGCCGGGGGGCTGCCGATAGGGGGGCGGAGGGGGAGCTAGAGACTGGTTCTGAGAACTTGGCCCCGTTCGGACATTCACTGGGGAAGGGGGAGGCTTGATGGGGGGCGGTGCTGGGGGGCCATCCCGGCTCACGGGGTGCCGCTGTCCTGGAGTCGGCGGTAACGGCTTCTCCCGGTTGTAGGAAGGCGCTTTGCTGCCATGCATCGGAGGGGGTGCCGGGGGCGCGTTGGCTCGGCGGCCTGGAGGCGGGGGCGGAGGGGCAGACGAGCTGTGTTTCATGCCGGTACTGCTGGCGCTGTTGGGCCGGGAAAGGTCAGGCAAGGAGGGTCTCTGCATCCGGGGAAGCTCGGGGGGGGAAGCCCGGTTGTTGTCGGAGTCATCGTGAGGTCGGCTGTTGGTCACGGGCACCGGGGGCCTCGGGGCTGCTGATCTGGAGCCAGGAACCTGCAGCGATTGCTTGGTGGAGGAGCTGTCTGCGACGGAGAGAAAGCTGGGTCACTTGCCAAGGGAGGGAAAGGGTCCCAGCCAGGCCTGGAGTTAAGGGAGATCGCTGGGCTCAGCTTGGGGTGAAGGGACACACTGCAGCCAGTGCGCTCGGCTCACCAGAGTGCCAGGACGGGGGAATGGCAAGCGCAGGGATCTCCGGAGGGAGCCAACGGCTCCCATCCCAAGCAACTTCTGAAGGTTTCTGGAGGCCAGGGTACGCACAGAGGAAAGGCCAAGTAACATTCTTCTGTCAACACTCCGTGCACCTAGGGCCATTCCCGAAGCACGAGAAGCCTCACCCCACCCCGGGAAATAAACTATCCTTAATGGGACCGATGGGGAAACTGAGGCACAGAGGGAAGCACTGGCTTGCCCAAAGTCCCAGACAGGATGGCTGTAAAAACTGGGGCTATCGCCTGGCCCTTCTGAGACCAGATCAGGTGCCAGAGCCTAGCGAGGGCGGGGTGGGGGTGGGGAAATCGTATCCTGCATCTTCAAATCAAGCCTCCATCTTGTCCCATTTCAATTAAACTGCGTAAGCGAGGGCAGCTGCTGCGATGGGCAGCCAGGCGACAGAGGGACTCGCACATTGCAATGTGCTGCGATGCGCCCCGCACCCCAGCAGCATTTCAGACCTGCGACCCGGCTAAACGCTGGTGACCGGTAAGCAACGGCAGCGAGTTACTTCCTGGGTACCTGAGTTGTCCTTCGCTCCTACGGGTCTGAGCTTAGGGACGCCCCCTTGGAAGAGGCTGCCTTTGGGCTGGAGTGCGGCGGAGCTGGAGCCGGAGCCGGAGCCACCACCACCTCCTCCCTTGGGTTCTGAAACGAGAGGGGTCCAAACTCAGCCCCTAACGCAGCCTCCCTGCCGAGGGTCCCCTTGCCTTCTTGCGGCTTCGATTTGAAGCATCCCGGGTCCAGGTCAGGTGCCTCAGAGATTACGCAGCACCAGGCGTGTACGTGGGGCACTGGCAGCTCTGCTCTCCCCATGGGCTGTCCCGGAGCTCCGGGACCACTAACTGAACGGTGCCTTGGCTCAGGAGCGAGCGCGTGTTCACAGAACGAGGACTGTAGGCCTAGGAGTATGAGGCATCAAAAGCTTCGAAGGGAAGGTGTGGGGAGAAACCAACTCGGCAAGTGCGGAGCAGCCATGGGGCTGCCGCAGTGTCCCACGAAGGCAGCAATGCAGAGGAGCACCTAAGGGAGGGGCTGGAATCGCAGCTCGAGGGGGACAGGGGGCTCTGGGGCTAAGTGGCACCGCACGGTGGTTTGGACCCAAACGCCAGGACACTCACTCTCCAGGACTGGAGCGCTCCGGTCATTGACCTGCGTCACCTTTCTCAGCCTGGGCCCTTTGCAGATATCTTGGAGCAGGGCTCCTCTACCTCGCTGCTCATCTCGGCTCAGCTTTGGGAGCTCGGGGTTTGCCTGGAGACAAGAGGGACGTGATGGAGAGAAACAAGTCACTGCCCTGCTGGTACAGACGGGCTCGCTAGGAGTCTGATTACAAACCAACCCTCCCTGCAGCCCCGGCACCACTGCACCGTCCTTTCCGCCAGGAGGCAGCTCTGCTCCACTCCCTCCCTTCCAGCCGGAGCATCGCGCCCGACCAAACCCAGGCACACGCCGAGTTCTAAAGCAGCTACCCGGCAGGTTCCTCCTACACCCGCCAAGAGGAGCATCGCTACAGTCCTCTCCCCCCTGCCCGGACGGAAGTGTCCCCGTCTCCGCCGGGGCAAAGGGCATAACAACCACACCTGAGATTCTTCGCTCTCCCTCTGGGGCTGCTTGGGAGGGAAGGGGGCAGCAGCACACACATCACAGGATCTCAGCCCTCCCCAGCGCACCCCCCGCTGCCCCGCTCCAGTTGGCTTTGGTGGAGGCAGCGCCACTCCCAACTGACAGGTGATGGCAATCGTTAGCCCACCAGTGACTTCACTTCCCCCGTTCCCTCGTCTCATCCCCTGCTTCTGACCGGCTCCACCTCCCCGCTGCCCCCAAACGCTCCTGGCTCTCCCTGCTGAGCGGCGCCTGCCTCATGCCAGGAGATCTGTCGTGCCGCACAGCTGAGCCCTGAGGGGACATCGCAGCGGGGAGTAACCACACAGTGCCGGATCACCTAATTCATAAACACGTCTCCAGCACTCAGCATCCCCACCACACAGCCAGGGAAACTGAGGGCAGGAGTCAGGTGACTTATCCACAGTTACACACAGTCTCTGGAGTCCAGTCCAAGCTGCCGCCAACACCTCCAGCAATACACCAGGGTAGACTGGCGTATCCAGAGAAAACGCAGCTGTGAAGAAAGCACCCCAGGTAGATGAGCCACCCTAGGAGAAGGGAAGTGGAAGGGCAGAGCAGCCACTAGCCCCAGAGAGAGGGGGCGAGCGGGGCCTCACCTGATGCAAGGTTGGCAGTGGAGGGGGGCCAGGAGGTGGTGGAGGGGGAGGAGGTATCGGCATCCTTTCCCACTCCTGGCTGGCTCAGTCTGCTTAGTGTCCGCGGAGCGTTCGGTCCCTCATACACCTGTAATTCAGACAGAACCAGTCAGGGACCCGCAGGCCGTTTCAGCAACACAACCCTGCGAGTGCCAGGGCAAGGGGTGGGCCACACCGTCCGGAACACCCCACGTCAGCAGCCCCGCCCTTCTGAGAGTCCACAACGACACGGCATCCTGGGAGCCAACCGCAGGCGGACCCTGAGCACGGAGCTTTACGATACAGCACCACACAGACATCCACCAGCAGCCCCAGTGCCGCACAGAGACTTCTCCGCAGACTTGGCTTCAGGAGACCAATACCAGTGAGTTCGAGCGCCGCCTCCCGGCCAGCTTAAGGGGCGAGATCGGTGGCAAAATTCCTTAAGAGGCAACTAGTTCAATCACATCTGGAAGAGCAGCCCAGCGGCAGCTACTATCCCCCAGGCCCGGTATCTGGACCCGCTTTCTGGTTCCTAGCAAGGAAGGATCAGCCCTTGCCCAGGAAGCATGTGACTGGCGAGAGCTGCAAAGCATCCAGAATTCAATTCATTTTTAACCCAATCATCTCACTTGAGAAAAGAGCAAACCAGCTACCTTGATCCTACACCCCATCAATCTACACCACTTCCTCCACAGCAGGAGCCTGCTTCCGCGGGATTTAACGGGCCCATGACATCTACAGCTCATCAGCAGAAATCAAGAGCCAACGCTGCCGAATTCCCAGCCGGGAGCCACAAGCCATAAATGTATCTATATCTTTTCTCGTGTAAATCATCATCCAGAACCATTTGAGATGGAAGAGACCTGGAGTCGGCACCCCCGGGTCACAGCAGTGTAGAATCTCTTCTTCCTGAACCATCCCTGAGAAGGAAGCATTAACGGCCAGATCCCACACAAGCGCCAACGCAAAGGGCCAGCTGAGCACCTGAAAATCTGGCCCAGTGTCTAACAGTGACTCCAAAGCACCCGATGGGAGCGTATTTCACTGTCTGAACTGTTCATACAGAAATCTCCTAATAGCGTCTCGGAGTTCTGGCTTACCCAGCACAGCGACAACCAGCTGCTGTTGGGCCTTTGTACAAGCTGGGTATTACCAGCCTGCCCAAGCCAGCCACTGTCACAAATGAAACATTTCCGTGGAGGAAGTAGATAAAGGCACAAGATGGTGAATCACCAGGTGACTGCAAGACACCGATACCTGTCAGAGCCATTAGTCTGACCACATGAAATTACAAAATTCAAACTCTCAAACAGCAGCGACTAATGGGATTGGAATGTGACGAATGCCAGGACTCACTTGTCAAAGCAGGACTCACGTGTGCTCCAGGCAAAAATCGAGAGAGGATGAAAACTTTACACAGCAGAACCAATGGAGAAAGACCCCAGAGTACTCCTAGGCAGAGACCATCCCATATTAAAAGCACGTTGCGTTAACACCTGATAATTCAATATTTTGCTTTGACGTTTTAAAGCATGTAGATTTCAGACCCCTTGCCCAGATCCAAGCATAAGCGAAGCAGGGAGTTTAACAGGCAGTTACATGACACAGCAAGATGGTGCCAGTCCACAACTTTATAATGCAGAAAATAAACCCTGGCCAACCTTTGAGAGGTGGGAAGTGAGCAACAGATGCTGCAATGAGGGCTTGTAATAAGACTTCATTATTCCTACAAGATAAACTATAGAACAATTTACTAGTGAGGCAACCCGTATTGTCTACATAAATCATGTACATTTTGTGATGTTATCAAAGCAGGTTTTTTTAAGCTGTGTTCATTTCCTTTCACGCTAATTCACAGAATCCCGTCATTCCCACAGTACCCCTTCCTCCCAAAACCATCAGAGCAAATTAGGGGGGTTCTAGGCTCACCATTTACATGTACTGCCTAGTTTAAAGGGACACCAGCAGGCTGAAAGAGAGTCAATTTCAAACACCAGAGTTCAAAATAATGTAAAGGACTTTCCCTGCCCTAAAGCCCACATGCCAATATTTGTGGTTTTACAACCACTTCTCTAAACATTTCCCTCTCTTGCTGCTGTGTGGAAGATCCACACAGACAGCGGGAAAGAGCAAAACTGCCCCTACACAAACTGCTGTTAAATACATAAATAAACCAAAGAAGATCAAGAGGAAAAATATTTGTCGCTCTAAGTCTTTCGTTTACAGTGATATTAAGTGGCACTTGAAACATTACTATGAAAAACATTCAGCTAGAAGCGTCTCTTTAAATAACCAGGCTCCTTGTTTGAACACGGCACACCGAGCAAGAGCCGCAATCCAGCTACCCGAGCGCCCTTCCAGACACCAGCTCTGTTCGGGACGAGGTCCTGCTTTTCAATAAAATCTAGACCTCATCTAGAGCTATTACTCGTCTCACTTTCCAGACACTAATCCCAGCTCCACGTAAACGCATAAGCTTGTCTCTTTCACCAACAGAAGTTGGTCCAATAAGACATTACCTCACCCACCTTGTCCTCACAACAATGGAGGAGGCAAGCGAATCGGAGTAAGACATCACATCCACTCAGATGGGAACTCACACAAGAACAGACCTGGAAGAGAACAAATTTCTCGGTAAGAGAAAGAACGTCACATACTTGGCTGGGGTTTGTCTGCGCTGCCTTCACTGCCGTCGTTGTGTCTGACTAGGAGCTCGCTCCCTGAGCAGCATCACGTGTGCTCCCATCCTTCCTGCGATGAACTCATGCTTTCGTGTTGACGTTCGCACGGCCTGTTGCCACAGAAATGACTGTGATGTCACAAGGCCAGTACTGTGATTTCATAGCTCGGAGGAGAAGACGAAAATAGCTTGGGGGTAATTAGCTAGCAGTAACAGCTGGGAAACGCGTGCCAGGTAAAGAGATTTATGATTCAGGCTGAGGTATTTGAAAGCCGTGCCTAGCACCCAACTTCCTCTTTAAAAAGATCAAAGCCCTGAAGAACTGCTCCCCATCCTCTTGACGTGTGGCCTGTAGGAACAGTCAGATGGTTAGAGAGGAGTTCTCAGCTGAGCGGAAATCCAAGTTCAGCAGCTTGCTACAAGTATGGAATCCCCATCGCGGTCCATGCAAAGGAAGGTGTTGCTATCTAGTCCTCTACTTACACAACAGCACTTCCCATAGATCTTGGACGTTGCACACACCCATCCTGCCCAGCCGTGCGAGGACGAGCCGTGCTCAGATGCTACGGAAGTGGACACGACTGCAATGGGCCCCCTAGACAAAGAGCTGCTACCACCATTCCACAGAAACGGAGTACAGGACTTGTTCAAGGTCACAAAGCAAGTGACTGGCAAATCCAGGATAGAATCAGGGCACTCCTGCTTCAAACCCCTGGGACCTCACTGTGCCTCTGGGATCATTACTCAACCCTCATCAGTCTGACGTGCAATCGTTCAGTGGAACAGAGGGGAAAATCCCCAGAATTAACCTGAGTGACTGTGGGGTTGGTTGGGGAAAGATTCACACACAGTTCTTATGGATGCACTTTAATCCCTGAATGCTTTACATTGCATGTGCCAGAGCAGAAGTCCCAGTCTACTGAAACAGGCATTCAAATAAGGGTTCTGTCCTAGAAGAAAAAAAGCAGAAAGAGTCTAAGCTAAAGCAGCTAGGAGAGAAAAGGGAGCTAGATTTCTAATGAACAGGTCACTTCATTTTAAAGTGTGGCCTAATGCACATTATGGATTAACTACTTGGCAAGGTGGGTGAGGTAATCTCTCTTATTGGCCCAGCTTCTGTTGGTGGGAGAGAGAAGCTTTCGAGCTACACAGCACACTTCCTCGGGTCTGGGAAAGGTCTCTCTAATATCCTGCAACCAACACGGCTACAACAACACTGCAAACACCTCAGCAAAGGTCAGTTTTAAAATTAAGAGCCCCTGAATTCAACTGAGCTCAAAAACCAGCCCCTATTGCAGCATGTTACCTTATACCAAGAGAAACAAGGCGAAAACTCGGAGAAGGAATGCTGACGTAATCGAGATCTTGGAATCTTTATTAAAAACAAAACAAAAAACAAAACATCTTTTGTTATTTTCATGAAGACAGTCAAGACAGCTAATAAAAAAAGAGTCTCACAGCAATGTTTACAGCCCCTTAACATTAAGTCTATGCCTTATGGAAAATGCGCCCTTCTGACACAATGCAGTTTAGACAGCTGACTCCCAGCATTTCTTTTGCGTTGTCCTTTATTAACCAGGATTCTTACCGGGAAACTGATCTCAACGTTTAAGGGTTTCATACGCTCTGGCGGTTTAGCCTCTGGTTTGTGGTGGAAGCGATTTAAAGACCCAAAGCAGGGCAGCACGCAAAGGGCACCGAACAGACTAAAGCACAGAACACAGACAGGCTCTTTGGATAAACCAGAGGGGGAAAAAAAGGCATTTGCCATTTAATTGGTCTTTTATACACAAAAATAAAGGAAGCATCTTCTTCCCAGTTTCTTCAGTTGCCACCACCAAAACCTAGAGCTCCGAAGGAGGCAAGTGTTTTCTGGATGGCAAGGCAAGCAGGTCTCCTTTGTAGTAGCCATTCAGAACTCAGCTTGTGTCCCACCCACTAGTTCATCTGCCCAATAAACCCAACTCAGAAGTGGTCTGTTTGCAAGCACTTCTATAGGGCGTGAGAACAAAGTCCTTTCCCCCACCCTTTTAAAGAATAACTAAACCAAACTTCATGCTCAAAAGCCCATTGGATTTTAGTGACCAACTGTGCTTAGCCTTGGAA